ATTTTAGTATGTACTGGGTATATAGGGTATCTATTTTAGTATGTACTGGGTATATAGGGTATCTATTTTACGTTTCTGCACTTGAAAAGGGGTATAATTTCACAAAAATAAGTATGCGTTTAGAGGCTTTTTTGAAAAGCTATACTTCAGCATGGGTACCAGTTACTTCCCTGGGACTATTTTCATGCTATAAGTAACAGAAATTTTGAGACTTTTTTGCTGTAGGTACTACGGTACCATAATAGTAAAGGAGTCAGCAATCTCCATTTGCATGGATGTTTTACCAATTTGTTTGTGGATGAAGAACATGTAGTTCCTTTCACATATTTTTTATGTGAGCTTTGCAAACAGCAGCATTAAATTTCATTGGAAAAAACAAAGAAATCCAATTACCTATTGTAATGGTAGCCCAGTACTTTAAAACAATAGTTTTTACTTTGTTAATACCTACAACATATACTGTGTTTTAAGTCAGTACATATCTCTAACAGAATCTATTCTATCTAAAATACATATAATACTAATTAGATTTGTAAAGAACAGAATATCCTATTATACTGCAATTCAAATCTAGTAGAGTGTATTAACTGGGAGGAGATCAGTAATTTTAGAGTTTAATTGTGGTTCATTACCACCTGTCAGTATGACATGCACTTCACACACAGTGTGTTTACAGAACAGAGACTGTTTCTCATTACTATACATGTCACAAATTTCATGTGCTGTAAATTTAGTTCAAAATGTCTTTTTATAAAAATTCAGCCTTGTAAGAACAAACATTTAAAGCACAAAAAGGTATGCAAAGTAGCAAGCAATGAAAATGGCAATTGAGTGCAATGACCTCATTTCAAGAAGGAAATTCTAGTCGCACACAAAAACACATAGATCAAGAGAGTTGCCTCAATTTACAATGAAAGTAAACAAATATTCAGCATGGCTGTGATACAAAGCACCACTGAATGTTAAAACGCTAACGATATACCGGGGGTAATGCCAGTTATCGTGGAAAATAGCTGCTAGCTTACCTCCATAGACGTTGCCATTCTGAATGGTAAATCAAAACTGTCGCTGCACCAATTACCCATGCAGGAAAAGTGGGCGTGTCTACTTATTAATCATGTAATAAAAAATATGGATTTCTATCGTATCTGGGACCTTTATATAATCTCGCATATGTTAATTACTATCAATATTGACAAAATAAATCAAAATTACTTGCCATTTTTGTTTGTCTTCAAATATTTGCTAGAATTTTCAGGGTGGAACTGGCATGTCAATTACAGGTCATAGGTCACAATCTATTTGCATATCAATATAAACAAATCAACACTTCTATTTTCATTCTATTATTTTTTTATTTTTCAAAGTGTTCACAAACTGTTAATAAAGACACACTTAATTTAAATAAATAATAAAAAATGAAAGTAATAAAATGGCACTGTCTAGCAAAAGAAAATCACACCAACCTTGGTATTTATATGTCATTTGTAGTAGACCTGAGTAAGTGGGTGGGGCAATTTCAGTTGTGTAATACACTCTATAATACAACAAACTCTTAAACAAGAAAAGCATTGACCACTTTTAGCACCAATGTCAACTTTTGTCAACATTTTCAAATTTTAAAACATCACAATTTTTTCACATTTAAAAAAAAAAATTGATCAAGACTTTTAGCCAATAAAAAATTATGTCCATCTTGACCAAAAATTATTAAAAAAATTCTAGAAAAGTATATAAAGGCAGGCAAAAGTATAAGTCAAACTTTTGCAAGGAAAAATGATGGCACTCAAGTAGTTAAAGGGTAGTGGTCGTCACACTCAAGTAGTTAAAGGGCAGTGGTCATCACACTGTGTTTATATGGGAATCAAAGCGACGTACACAACACATGTAAAATACATAACATTCAAACACCCACTGCATGACGACCGCAATTCTTTAAATCAAACATATATACATTTATGGTATTATAGTGTATTGCCTCCTCTTATAGTATATAGGCAGGTTATGCCATTATAAACTTGAGTGGTGACACGCGCAGCAAAGTTCTGCTTCCCTACACACAGCACAAGTAAATACCAGTACCAATTTTATTTACGTTTATAATGGCTCAACTTGGACGTAACATTTTGTACCATTTTTAAACCCTAAACAATAAACACAGAGAATGCCTATTTTAGTTTACTTTATAGAAAACCTTTTTAGGTTATTTTCTTCAATGAGCTGTGAATATAGATAATTTAAAAACACATGATCAATGAATGAAATGGTCACTTAAAAACCTTTTCCTTAACAATTTTTAAAAATCTGTCATTAGACAAATAATTTTTGTGCATGATAATAGAAGGACATTTTTAAAAAAATTATTTTTTCATTCTTTTTATTTTCAAATTTGGATAAATATAAGCACTACATTTTTTACAGAAATAATTTCAAAAAAACTTTTAAACTTTCTTTTATGGGAATTATTTGGTTTCCTGGTCAACGGAAATTTACTGAGATATGTTTTGCAGCAAATAGCACAGCTGTTAATCATGCTATTTAAAATATGAATATTTATTAGCAATATTAAGATTAATTATTAAAATTTATTAATCATTGAGAGAATGCAGACATGAACAATTTTGTTTAATCAATTCTGTTGACATTGGAGTATTCCAAATATACACATCATTTTTTTTTTATGATTCCCATTATTAATATTTTAAACTCTATCTGAAATGATGTCTGTAAGTTCTGAGTAAAAATTTGGAACAAAATAGAATTAATTTCTCATTGGTACATTATTGATTAACATTTTTTTGCTAAAAAAAAAAAATCGGGAAAAAAGTCTTGGGTATATTTTGTGAAAATTGATAACGAGGTTCTAAGTAATACCCCATTTTTCCTATTTTTGTTGTTGATTTGATCCTATAAGGTGAAGTTCCTGCGATTAAGTGCTACCAGTATGTGCGATTGAACATCAAAAAAGCAATAGCCTAAATAAAGTCACACTGGAACATACAAAGAATAAAAGAATCTAATGTAAAACCAGACATACATTTACTATTAAACTGTAATTAAGATGCAAAGGCTATCCCTGAGAAGTGCATCTTTAATAGAAGTGCATATATACCAACAATCCCATTGGTTGTATACTGAATCATTAAAATTTGACTGTAGAAATATCTTTGTAATTTATGTAAACAAATATGCATACATGAACTCACATACCAAAACCAGGGTTTACAATTGTCCTAAACTATTTGAGATCAGAATGTCTTTTGAATCAGCTGACTTGAAATGAAAATGACTCAGTAAAAATGTAAATGAGCTAATTAAATATGCATGAATTCACTCCCGAAAACCAGATCTTGCAATTGTCCTCAACTATTTGAGATCAGAATTTGTTTTTGGAATCAGATGACTTGAAGTGGAAATGACTCAGTAAAAATGTAAATGAGCTAATGAAATATGTAAGAATTTGTACCAAAAATTGCAAACCATACTTCAACCTTTGTAATGCATATACATATATATAAAAATAATCAGATTGGCCACTATCAATCAATATTGACAAAATCACATTTTTTTTTCCAATACAAAAAATAAAAACTAGTTTGGTATTATATAAACTGATGAATAACAATGTCATAGCAACAAAAATTGTGTACAATATCTTGAATTTGTCAATATTTTGCTATATGTATTGTTCACTCCCCCATAGCAGATTTTGTTAATACACAAACTGGTAGATTAGAACTTGCACATTGAGTGTATGACATCTTTCTGTTTTTTGTGATTTATTGAGTTGACTTTGTAAATTACATTTTTAACCAAGATCACAAAAAGCTAACACTTTCAAGAAAAGCATGTTTCTCAGAATTGTACACAAATGTCCTACATTAAGATGCTATTAGTGAACATGGTATCCAAAAACTGTTCCTAAACAAGCCACTGTGTTTTAATTTGGACAGCGCCCCCAGTGGCAAACAATCAGAAAATAACAGTATGATTTAAAGTTGCATTCACACTTTGCAAATCTGTGTCTCTGGTTACTATAGATATGATAAAATGTGAAATTGTGGATGAGTAATGAAATATTAAATGCAAAATATGAATATAAATGACTCTTATGTACGTTGACACTGGTAAAGTGAAATATCTGATAAATTGTCTAGTTCTAGAACTTATTGGCCTCGTTGCATACAGACTCTTTTGGCATTGTTACATAACCTATTTTAGGAATGTCTGCACGTAACTTTCAAAAAAAAAAAATGGTACACCTCCTCCTTCAAACAACACAAGGAAACAAACTTGCACTAAAAACGAAGCACATCCTACGATGCAAAGTTAAATGAGAAAAATACAAATTCAAAAAAATGTCTTTACCTTTTGTTGGAGTGACATGTGCCCCATCTGTGAGGTCATTTGTGCTGTACCAGCAGCGGCCGGATACTGTGCACCTGGGTACTGACCACCTGGGCTGTAAGTACGGGGTGGCGCAGCCTGCGGTGGAGGGAGGGAATGCCCCCCTGGAGGTGGAGCATACTGCAAGGAATGAACATAAAAATAAAAATTATTGCTATATTACAAGAGGTATTCAATAAGTAAAATGCAGTAAAGATCAAAACTTGTTTTTCATGCACACTACTTCAGAGTCATATCAACTCCTGCATAAAAACAAGGTTCTAAGGGCATACAATGTCAGTTACAATTATTGTACAAGAGCCTCATAAACACAATGAACCAGAATAAATTCATGCATCTGAGAGGTTTGCATGACCTGAATCTCTCATATCAAATGGAAAAAAAAAAATTTGAATGAAAATGAACTCATTGTTTCACTGGAACATCCAACATGTTCGAATGAGCAATACAATAATATTAACTACAAGTAAAAAAAAATGCATCTATGACAAAAATGGCCATAATTTAGTCGTTGACAAGAGTATTGACAAAAACAGGTACATTGTTTGGATACAAATGGGTTGTATATGGTAAACATTTGTTAGGAACATTGGGTACAAATGGGTTGTGTATGTTTGAAATTTGTTAGGACCACTGGGTACAAATGGGTTGTATATGGTAAACATTTGTTAGGAACATTGGGTACAAATGGGTTGTGTATGGTTGAAATTTGTTAGGACCATTTGTACAAATGGGTTGTGTATGTTTGAAATGTGTTAGGACCACTGGGTACAAATAGGTTGTATATGGTTGAAATGTGTTAGGGAACACTGGGTACAAATGGGTTGTGTATGGTTGGAATGCGTTAGGGAACACTGGGTACAAATGGGTTGTGTATGATTGAAATTTGTTAAGAACATTGGGTACAAATGGGATGTGTATGGTATAAATTTGTAAGGAACATTGGGTACAAATGGGTTGTGTATGATTGAAAATTGTTAAGACCATTGGGTACTAATAGGTTGTGTATGGTTGAAATTTGTTAGGACCATTTGTACAAATGGGTTGTGTATGTTTGAAATTTGTTAGGACCACTGGGTACAAATGGGTTGTGTATGGTATAAATTTGTCAGGAACATTGGGTACAAATGGGTTGTGTATGATTGAAATTTGTTAGGACCATTGGGTACAAATGGGTTGTGTATGATTGAAATTTGTTAAGACCACTGGGTACAAATGGGTTGTGTATGGTATAAATTTGTTAAGAACATTGGGTACAAATGGGTTGTATATGGTAAACATTTGTTAGGAACACTGGGTACAAATGGGTTGTGTATGATTGAAATTTGTTAA